AATTAAAAAAACTAAATAAATATTTATAAAAAACAAGGAAGAAAATTGGGACAATAGATTTCATTTACAAAAAAATATAAAATATAATGCAAATCTGTATAAAAATATAGAAAGTAAAAATTAAAATAATTAATAAATAGATATGAAAAATATTTTTATAAAACAAAGATATTTAGCAAAAAAGGTTATATATTAATTGAAAATAAAAATTAAATAAAAAAATAAAGATTAGAAATATAGGGAATAGCAGCTTGTAAAATAAATAATTCTAAGCAATACTTCAAAAATGATTAATTCGAATAATAATTAAGTTTAAAATAATATTTTGTATAAAATAACAAAAAAAAATTAATAAATAAAAAGTTATTCAACATAACTAAAATAATAATAACTTTATATTACCACCTAAACCAATTAAATATCCTTTAAACTAAAAAAAATGGAATATGTAAAATTAATAAAATGATTTATAAGAATTAAAACGATTATGGGATTAATTAGAAATACCAAATCATCATAGGTAAACAAAAAAAGAGTATAATAAAAAAATAAAATCAAAAACTATAATAATTAATAAAAAAAGACTCAAACAAAAAATTATCAAATAAAAAGGGATATTTTTATGCAATTTATTTAAAACAACCAAGGAAATGCAAATTTAATTATATAAACTGAAATAAACGATTTGAAATCAGGTAATTCATTTATACAAAACTGTATTAGAGCTATAAAATCAAGGGAATAATGCTTAATTTCATTAAAAAATTAAATAAGTAATCTCTAAAATACATAGGATTTACACTAAAATTTATTAAAAGTATTTTTATTTTTTAAGTTAAGAAATAAAAACAAAAACAAAAAAGTGTTCAGAATTAATTTAACATTTAATATTTCTTTCAATAAATGCAATTGAATGTATTTTTACATGGAAAGAATATTTTTCCTAAAACTTTCCTTTAAAAGAAAAATCGAATATACAATATACATTTAATAATGAAAATTATTATTTAAAAATATTGTATGATACATAATTTATTTATAAATCGCCTCTAAAATAACATTTTGGTTTATAAGAACATATAAGAGACCCTTTTTTCTAACATATGAATATAAAAGAATAGAAATATGTTGTAGAAATATCAAAGAATGTTCGAAAAAGAATAGAAAATTCAATTCAAATTTTAGAAAAGGAAGAAAAAATGCATCAAAATAAGCTTAGTTATTTACCCAATATTTAAAAAAATAGAAGCAAAACATATTCATAAATCAAATTAAAAATTTCGGATAATGATTCAATAATATCTCCTCAAGTTATATAAAATTCTAAAAGAAAATAAAAATGAATTCATTAGAAAAGTTTTCAATATTAAAAAATGATTAGTAAAATAATGAATATAATATTAATTAAAAATATAAGATAAAAATTAAGCAATTTTGTCCTAATATAAAAGAAACAAATTACTAAAATAATAATTAATAATAATTTTTAGATAATAATTTATAATAAAATATATTAATAGAAGATAAAATTTCATTAAAAAGTCATGAAAATATTCAAGAGGCTCAATAGTAAGCGTACATTTAAAGTATAGATTTATAAGAAGAAGAACTTATTGATTTCTTTGAGAAATATGTGAATGAAATTGATTAAATATTCAAAAATTCTTTGTTTTCGTCTTCAGAATAATTAAATAAAAACTTTAAAACATAACAAGAGTTGGGATGCATGAAATTTATTAAAAACAAAAAAGATGAAGGAATTGTAATTTTTTTTAATGAAAATAATTAGTAATAAAGAAGAATTTTTATTTTTCATATTTCAACTTATAGAATTGAAAATTTTAGTGAATTTATTGAATTATTTGTTGATTTTATTTTCTAAAATGATAATTGTTAAGAAATTAGAATACCACTTTTACATTATTAATAAAATGATAAGCTTGCTGTAAATAAAGAACTTTAAATTCAGCTTACTTAAAAAGGTTTTAAATGGAAATCTGTGAATAATTACGAATAATTTAGAACTACACTGATGGCTTTAAAAAGAAATAATATTTAAAATATTTTCATTAAGCCTTAAGATGACTATATTGTCCTTAGATCTGCTAATTTAATTCATATTTAAGATTAAAATACAGATTTTTAGAATAAAAATGATTATTTTGATGTAAGTGTAGGTGCTTCAGAATGTATTAATTAAGCTCTAATGGGTAATTTAATAAATGAAGAAAATTAATAAATTACTAAAAGCATTAATATTATAAAAATATTAAATTAGAAAAAATACTAATATCAAGATATTAAAAAAGGAGAATTTTAAAAAAAAGAAGATTTGAATAATTTCTTGAAAGAAAATTGCTTTGATTTGAATATTGATTTTATTAAATAAGAATCATAAGTATTTTATAGTCTTTATTTTTTATATAAAAAATATATAGATTTTTTGCAATATAAGTAAAGCAGTATTTAAATGGCATTCTTTTTCTTAATGTACTTATAATAATTATAATTATATTAGAATAAATATAGTAACAAAAAAAATATTAGTATTAATTATTACTATAAATAAATTAAAAGCCAGATAATATTCGAAATGATTTCATTTAAGCCTAGTTTTATTTAAAAAATAATATTTTTGTTCTACCTACAGATGATATTTCTACAAAAATTTTTGTTATTGAACTTGAGAATAATGAATTAAATGAATTTAAAAATGATTTTTTAAATAAAATAAAAGAAGCTATGTAGTCTTTAAAAAATTAAGAGATAATATAAAAGGAAATATTTATTCCTTAATTTTAGTTTGAAAGTTCAAATTAAAATTAAATAGAAAAATATATATTTGTTAATTCTTCAATTTATATTTGTACTAACTATTAATCGAAACTTCCTAAAATAAAATTAAATTTGAATAAAAAGCTAACCATTTTATTAAACCTCCATTTGTTTTTGGTATGTTTATATAAAATATACAATTATAACTTATTTAAATAATAAATTAAAGGGTTTTTTAATTACGATATTGATGAAATTTTAGAAATTCCATATTATTCAATATTAGTAGAAGAAAAGCATTTAATAAAACCTTAATGAAAATTACATATATATATATATATATATATATATATTATAAATAAATAAATAAAAAATATTTTTATAAATCAAACGAATATTAACATTAAAAATAAGAGTCTATTTCTTTTTCATTAATAAGTAAATTATTTTGATGCTTTAAGATATTTTTTCTGTTTTTTTCAACTAGAATAGCTGTAAAACCTTGATTAAAATCATGTTTATTTAAAACTCTTTTTTTTTAGTTTACTTAAATTTTTATTTATCAAAAAAAAATACTCGGCTAAAACTTAAAAATCTTGAAAACATACTTAGCCTATATTAACATTTTAAAAATTTTAATACATTTAAAAATAATTCTTAAGCTTAAAGGATTAGAGAAATTCCGAAATTTATAAGAATATATTTTTTTTTCATATTTACACTTTATAACATTTTTAATTAAATTTTTAAAAGTACCAAAAATCTTCAAGATTTCATCTTCAAATTCAAAAATTTGAATATTGAAATATATTTTACTTTAATATTATTTAAAAAAATTATAAATTTTATCAAAAGAATTTCATTTAGAAATTGTTTCTTTTATTTTTTCCAAATTTTAATTTTTCAACATAAAGTTAAATAATCTTAAGTCAAAAACAATTTTTCTCGTTAATTTCTATCTTGTTAAAAGTAAATATAATCCGATTTTTCTTCATATTTTTTAAAATAAAAGCAACTTCCTGCATTTGTAACTAAACCTATTTTTACTTCTGACATTACTGAAATTGTTTTAGGGTACATATTCTTATTTTATATCCTAACGCTAATCCTAATCCTCCTCCCTCTAAGAATTGTTTCATCTATTATTGAAATTGAGATTTTATATGAATTTTGGCATATAAAAAAGTTGGTGAAATATGGATATATTATAATATTTATTCAAATAAAAATTATTATTTTGTTAAAATGAAAATTTTCAAATCCCTTTCGAATGAAAATATTCCATTTTTATTTCAGAATAATATTTTTTTATTAGTTATTCTTTATAAAGTTATTTCTAATTTAGATATAAAATATAATTATTTGTTTAAAGTTATTATATTTTTCTTTTTTTGAAATATAAGCTCAAATATATGGTTTTTACTAATTTCTAAAATATTATTAAAATTGTTTATGTTTAACATTTAAAAATAATTATTAATGTCTTGTAAACAATTTATAGGTTTACTCATTAATATTTTAATTTTTTAAAGGTATTTGTAATTTCTTTTATTAAAATTAATTAAAACAATAATTTAAAAAAAAAAAATTAAATACATATTATATAAAAAAAGAAAAAATTTATACATTTTATTATTAATTTTTATTTCATATTAAATAAATCAAGCATCTTATTGACTATCGATTTCGCTTATTGTATGGATAGTATAATTTTTATCAGCGGAATGTTTTTAATTTGTTTTCTTTGTATTATTATCCTTTATATAGCTAAGTACTCTATTTATGTTTTTCTTTATTAAATTGAAATTATTGTTATGATTAACTTTTATTTCCTCTTTGTGAAATTTAAGATTGATAATATTGCTAAAGTTATTATTTTTCACCAACTGCAGGTTAATTTCCTTAATAAACTAAAGGATGTTTATATATTTATCTCCATTATTATTTTATTAAATTTTTATTATATTTTCTGAAAATATTTATTGCTTAATCATCACTTTTGTCTATAAGGCCTATTTCGAATAATGGTTTTCCGATTATAAAAAATATTATAATTGTTCCAAAAATTAGAATTCCAGCAATAATAACGGAATATAAATCATTTTTTAATATAAAAAATGCTAAATATTATAATTAGCATATGAGAATGCCAACAGTAGCATATTATAGTATTTTTGTAATCTTTATTAATAATTAAATATAATACATATTAATTTTTCATATACTTAATGGCCTGAGCTTTCTAATTCTCTTTAATGAACAATTAAAAGCAAATAAGAATCAAGAAAATGCTTAACAATAAAGTAAAATAAACCAGAAATAACAATCCACATGGATGTAAGCCTTATATATATAAAAAATTATAGAATATTTCTATTTTTGTTTTTTTACATAAAACAAAATACTATTGATAAAATTATTAACATTTAAGAAATAAAATAACCATATTGAAATACTGAATCAGTGTTTCTTAAATAACTTTTTCCATCATTCTAATAAATCCTCCTATTGTATGCTAAATAAGTGCTCATATAATTTGTAAAGATGTCTCCCATTCTATTTATATAAACAAATACTGTTAAAGAACCACTTTATGCAATAATAGTTGCAAAAACTAACTATGATAATAATTTTATTTTTATTTATTAAAATTAAATACTCCATTATGTGCTGTATAAATTCTTTTTAAAGCTTCTTATAGTTATATTTATACTTTTCCAGTAATAATCTAATAAACAGGTGCTTTTTTATTAATTTTTTTTTACATATATAATATAATAAAATACCATTAGAAGCCATAAAAAAACATGGTACAATAATTACATTAAATAATAAATAAACATAATATTTCCTAAAAATACTAATCTAAAAAGTAGAATGTCTTTGAAATTTTTAGAATTAAGCTTTTTTTAAGAAAAACATTTATAAAATATAGAAAATGAAAAAAATACTAACTAAATCAATAAATAATTAAACAACTTAATTTAATAAAACAACAATGAGAGCAGGAATATAAACTACTAAAACAGGTCCAAAAGGCTATGGAATATTTTAAACCCATTAAAAAACAATATTTATATTTATATATTTTTATAAAATAGTAAAAATAGCAGCAGGAGTAGATAAGAAAATAAAAAGGAAAATAAAAATAATACTAATCAAAATTTATCTAAAAAAATTTAATCCTCTACTTTCACCAACTAAATTTAGCCATACTATATCATTTGGATCTGGAACTTCTTAACAACTTATGGAAAATCTTTTGTTTTGTTTAATTATTAAAAAAAACTAATGTCAGTTATTTAATTACTCTTAAAAAGGAGAAGGTGCTGTTATACTTGTAGATCTTATAAGCTATCTTTAATTATTATTTTAGGCAAAACAATTTTTAAATTTTTCAATTATAGATTCAAATGCAATTTATATGATTGTCTTATTAGGACTGTAAATTAAAAAAATTATATATGAAAAATAATATATTTTAAAAAAAATTACTTTTTTTATTTTTACCTAAATTTATGTAGACAAAATTTTGCAGCCTCAATACTATCAAAGCAAATAATGCCATGCCCACAACCTAAAAAAGTTTTAGCAATTTCATCACTCAATTTATCTTCAATTTATAAACTTTATTTTATCTATCTTTATTTATCTTTATATATAACTGGTAAAAGGAATTTAAATAAAATACTATTTTTATTATTTTCATAAATCTATTTAGCAAATTCAAGCTCGCCCATATCATATTCGAGCTATAATAATTGGGCATAAGCAGGGATAACAATTATTTAATCAATTTAACTGTAAATTTTTTATTTTGCAAGTTCTTCATGTATTTTCCTCTTTAAAATTTCGCCTGATAAATCGTTATGTAAAAGTCCTTATACATGTAAAGTTCTTTATTACATCCATTAAAGTCCTTTTTTTTTGTTTTTAATTAAATTAATATCTATATATTCATTTTGAAGAGTATGTCTTATGAAAATTAACCTATTTATGAAAAGAGCACTTAAAATAAACAAAAAAATTATCATTTTATACTAAGAAAAATTAGTTGATATATAGTAATAATAATAAGGATTAAATTAAGTTTTTCGCTTAAATGAATAATAACAAATGCAGCAAATTATAAACAAACCAGATTAAAAATAAATAATAGCATTTATCGCTAAAAATATAGATAACTATAGCCATCAAAACCACAATTTCTTATCCAATATATTGGGTCAAACTCATTCATATATTTTATCATTTAATTTATAACATCTATAAACGATTTTAATGATAATCCTTCTTTTTAATCTTTATATTTTTATGGAAACTTAGTCTCGTGGTTATCTAACCATATTATTTTCCATAAGCATAAACCTAATATTAATATAAAGCAGTTCATTGCCATTTCAGCAAGAAATATGTAAAAGTAATCCATATAATTACTTTTCCTTTTTTTTAATATATAAAGTATTTTTTAAATTTTATATATAATTTATATTTTTATTTTTAGAAAATATTATTAATTTTTCTTTATTATTTTATTTGAAAATTATATGCCTTTTTTAATTTATTTTCTATTTTCGAGTGTTTTTTTTTATATAAATTATATAAAAAAAATTAACTAAAAATGTAAAATATTATATTAAAATTTTATAGCTTTAACAATTTTTACATCAAAAACAACAACAAAATGTTCAAAAAACTTTTTTCGTTTATTAGAAACAGAATTGTATTAAATACTTTTTAGTCATTAAAAATTATAATGGAGGAAGGAAAGAACGCTTTAATAAATAATGTTTTATGTTATTTAAGTAAATATTAAAAAATATAAATATATATTTATAAAATGGAATAATTTGTTATAAGAAAATAATATATGATGATTATTTTTTTATAATATTTAATACTTTCTTATATTATTTTAATATAAGATTATCAACTTTATATATTTAATAATAAAAAAAAAATCAATAAAATAAATGTTACATTTTTTAATTTTTTTAATCTTTTAAGTTACAAAATTTTTATAAATTAAATTAAAAAGCATAATAATAAAGAAGTAAAATAATTAAGAATAATAAATATAGTGCCTAAAAATAAATTCTATTTTTTAAAAAATGTTTAAAACAATATCAATATAATAATTAAAATGTTGTTCCTGATGAAATAATAAATATTGAAATAAATTGAAGATCGAAATATTGTTTACTTGTAGAAATTGATAGTAAATAAAGTTTAAACATATAATATTTTTTACTACTATAATTATAATAATTATACGTTTTAATACATGCTAAATTATTTTTAATAATAAAATATTTATAAGAAAATATTATTCTTATATTTTTTATATTAATTTATAGTTTTAATATAAAAATCATATTTTGAAAATATAAATAATTTTAGAATATCTTAATATTCTATTTTTAATAAACTTTATTATAATTATTAATTTGATATGAAGAAAAAAAAATATTTTAAATTTTTTGTATTAATATAAATTATTTCTTTATAGAATTTAATTCATTCTATATTTTAAGGTTCTTGAAAATTCTCTATTTTTTTTTTAATTGTTCCTCTTAAAAAATGGCCTTTCTAAAATGCTTTTGATCAATTATTCATCTTTTTATAAATCAAACGATTAATTTAGTTAATTGCAATTTTATTATTATTGTTTTGATTTTACTAGTAAATTAGCTAAATTTACTACAAATTAATTATTTTTAATTGATATTTTTTCGTTTTGTTTAATTTATTGTTATTAACTTATATTTTAACTAATTTTTATTTCTTAATTTTCATAATAATTATTATAATATGAAATTTATTATTCTTATTATTTGGTCTAAATATTTTCTTCCTATATTTTATTTTGCTTTTAATTTTTTAATTTTATTAAAAAAAAGTATTTTATTTGTTTTATTATATTTTAATTTTTACTAATATATTTTAATTAATTATTTATTTTTTTGTATAATTATTGTTATTATCAATTTTCTCTTTTTACAAAATACTTTTTAAAAATTAAATAAATTAAATTATATAATTTTACTTTTAATTCCCTTATTATATATTAGATTATTTTTTATTAAAGGAATCTAAATATATTTGATTTAAAATATTTTTTTTCTATAAAAAATTAAAACAATATATATATATATATATATATATATACCTTATTAAGAATGATCTTATTTTAAGTTTTTACAATTTTTACATATTTATGGGTTATTAGAAACCATATCTAATTAAAATTTAGCACATATTTCATTAGGCTTTTTTCGGTTTTTTTTTTTAAAAAAAATAGATATTATTGTGAAAAATAATATTAAATATATGTTTAAATGTATTTTTTTTCGACATTATTACTTCATTTTATTATTCTTTTTTGGTATTCTACTTTTTTTATACCATCTATTCCAATGTTTTCTTAATATTTTCTTATTTTAAAGTTGTTTGTTCAATTTAGTTTAATTCTTAATATTAATTACAGATTTAATTTTAAAAAATTATATTTTTAACTATCTAAGTTTATTTATATTACCTTTATTATTCTTCATTTAATTTTAATATACATAGTTTTCCTTAATTTTATTATGACAATTAGAGTGAATTTCTGTTTTTTATTAGGAGTTATTTGGTATATTTTGAATTCCTACTTTTACGTTTACTTCAGAAATTTTTTAATCATTTGCTAAAGTAATTTACGCATCTATTTTTTAATTTTAAATCTTTAAAATTAATTATTTTTCTAAATACTATGAGGAATATTATCATTCTAATTTAAGAATGTTTTTAATATATTAAAAATATAAAAATCATTTACATATATTTTTTTTAATTTTAAATGGTTTCATTAATTTTATTCTCAAATTAAATCTATCCTTATTATAAATTTATTATCTCTTTTTTATATAATGGCTTATTCCTATTTGATATTATATATTTATTTATAAAAAATAATTACTATTTTGTATAATTTAAGGGTTCATAATTTTTATTTTCAATATTTTAGTTAGTATTAATAGTAATTATTTATTCTTTTTTTCTATTATAAAATTTATTATTTATTTAATTACTCTAATTTTATTATGTATGGTCTTTTTTTAAATTCTTGCAAGTTTTGCAAATATTTGGATTTGGTGATGTTAAATCAAACTTAAAGCTTTAACATATTTAATTCATTTTTTTTTTATTTTATATTCAATTATTTGGAAATAAAAAATAAGAAAATAAATTTATTAAATTAATCAAAATAAAAAATTATAAATATGTTTTATATTTTTGTTTAATGATTATTTATATTTTATTAATATTTCAGTTGCTAATATAAGTTTAGTTTTTATATTCAATATTCTATAA